TCCGAGGCCGGTAGTCCCCCCCGCCGCCTACCCAGCCCGTTCTCGGAGACCTAGGTGTCCGAGAAAGGGCTGGGTAGGCGGCACAAGGAGGCTTTAAGCGGCGGGGACAGGCTGGGGGGGTGGATCGGGAAGCTTGAAGCCTCCCAGCGCTGCTTACCCAGGTCGTTCCCGGACTTCCAGAAGTCCGGGAACGACCTGGGTAGGCGGCACGGAGAGGCTTCAAGCTCCCCGATCCACCCCCCAGCCTGTCCCCGCCGCTTAAAGGGTAACCGCAGCGGCTACCCCAGCCATGGCCGGACTCTAGGGAGTCCAGCCATGGCTGAGGTAGCCACCATGGGTCAGATCCAAGCCGCGGGGGGAGGGAAAAAAATGGATAATCTGTTCCAATTGGAACGGATTAACCGGTTTTCAATGCATTCCTATGGGAAATGGTGCTTCACATAACGATGTTTTCACATAACGGGTTTTTTTTCCGGAACCAATTAACATTGTTATGCAAGGCACCACTGTAATCAAAACAGGATGTAACTAAGGCATGTGTCACTGTAGCCAGATCTGACATCTCAAGGAACAGGCGCAGCTGGCACACCATCTTTAGCTGTGCAAATGCACTCCTGGCCACCACTGAGACCTGATGAATCCAGGAGTACACCCAAGCTGTGGACCTGCGTTTTCAGGGGGAGTGTAACCTCATCCAGCACAGGTAATATCCCTGTTCCCTCATCTGCCTTCTGACTAACCAGGAGCATCTCTGTCCTGTCTGGATTAAGTTTCACTTTGCCCTCATCCAGCCCATTACTGATGCCAAGCACTGGTTTAGAGTCAAGACAGCTTCCCCGGAATTAGGTGGAAAGGAGAGATGGAGTTGAGTGTCATCCGCATTACTGGGGACACCGAACCCCAAAATTCTGGAAAACCTCTCCCAGCAGTTTCATGTAGATATTAAAAAGCATGGGTGACAAAAGAGAACCCTGAGGAACACAACAGGCCAATGGCCAGGATGTTGAGCAGGAGTCACCCAGCACCACCTTCTGAGTTCTCCCCTCCAGGAAGGACTGGAGCCACTGTAAAACAGTGCCTCCGAGTCCCATCTGAGAGTGACAACCCAGAAGGATACCATGGTCGATGGTATCGAAAGCCGCTGAGGGACACACTCCCCCTGTCCAATTCCTGTCGTAGGTCATCCACCAAGGCGACCAAAGCAGATTGAAATGGGTCTAGATAATCTACTTCCTCCAGGAATCCCTGAAGCTGAGAAATCACCACATGCCCCAGTACCTTGCCCAGGAATGGGATGTTTGACACTGGCCAGTAGTTATCTAATACACTGGGATCCAGGGAGGGCGTCTTCATTCTAAGATATGACAGATTTAACTCTTCTGAATTATTTACTGCTGTTCCATATGATCTCCGTACCTACCCAAATGAAACTAATTTTTTTTCTACTTTCAACCTACCCTCTTTCAGTTTCAAAGCACACATAGCGTCTAAGTGTTCTGAACAATCCGTACTGTAGTGTATTACAACAATTGCAGTCTTGCTATTGCAGTGGCCATGTGGTCTATTATCAAGGAATGTATAATCAGGTCTGTCAACAGCCAATGGTAGACTCTACATCTAGTGATGAAAACAACAATGGCAAGTCTGCACTCTCTATGACTCACCATGTCAAACGCAGCCTGCCAAGCCTGTTAAAAACCTGTTTTTGCTGTCTGAATAGCTTGCAGGAGCAGGTGTGTCAAGCACTTGGCAGGCCATAACATGTGTTTGGCGGTCTGAGTTCAGCTTGGTGTGTCAAAATGAGTTGCAAAACCTGACCAGGCATGCTTTAAGGAAAATCAAATCCTGAAACCTTTACAGATGATTGAAAATAATTAGGCTTGTTTATGTTACATAATTTGCTCTGTATCTTATAGCCACAAGGAAAACTAAGCATATCACTGAGGCTTCACAATCTGCCAGAAATTGTACATCTCTCTTTTTCTCACACACAGTTATGCAACTGGATTTTGCCTCATGTTTATAACTATAAGGGCTAGAACTCTGTTTTCCAAAGAAAAGCCAAGGCATTCACAATATTGAACTGAGGAACCAATACTAAGTGAATGTGTTAGAAGTACATTCAAGAATAATCACAGATCTTCACTTGTGTAGTAACAACGGTGTTTTGTTTCCATAAACACAAAAAAGTCAGAAGACATCATCCAAATAATATTGCAAGTATTTTGGGGAAAGGAAAGCATATCTTACCGTTTCCAACAGAGTGCTTGTTTTTTGCCCAGGATGAAGCAGAAGACGCCGACTCTACTTCCAAGATGCTGCTGCTATGTGATTTGGGAATATGACGCCAAGCAGGAACGAAACATCCAGATCGTTTCATATGAGAATCTCTTTAAACATAAGATAAAAGAATTGAAATTCCTACAATCCTTCCAGGACTCCTTGAATGTTACATTATGAGGTCTAGTTCTCCAAACCAGTGCTAGCTCACGGTTTTGCACAGACTAATATGAGCACACAATATATTTCTTTGAAGCAACATATATTATTGTATGTAAATTGTATCAATCTTATTTGGGCACAAAAACTTTTGCTATCACCGGTAATGTGCTCTTTACGTGTTTTAAGAAATCAGTATTTGCACAAAACCACTTTTGGGTCCAATTTCTACACGGTTACAATTTCTACTATTGTTCTCACATGACACGAAGTAATTTCCAACTTACAAAGACCCTATAGATTACTGTAATCACCTTCAAAAGGTCTTGTCATTAACAGTCCTGCTCATGTCATTCAAACTAAATGTTGTGGCTTCCTTTATTGAGTCTATCCATATAATCTTTGGTCTTTCTCTTTTTCTACTGCCTTTAACTTATCCTATTTCAGTGGCGTTTGTCCTATCATAATACATTAAAAATATAATTCAATTCTTTAAAAAAATCACCTCTCCATATAAGAATCCAAGGTGGTTAAGAAAGCATTGAAGTCATGATTACCAAGAGAAATATGTAAAGTGAAATTTAGAGGACTACAGCAGCAGCGAATATGTATTTGCATGAAACTTACCGAGATGTGCTAGAGCTCTCAGACAGAGGCATATCCATACTGACTGGACTGTTGCTGTTGCGTTCACTGCTTTCATAGCCAGATTCCATCCTCTGGATCAGACGAGGATGTTGATCCATCTTATGGAGTGCACCCCGGCCTAGAGACCAATGCTTGTACCTGTTTGATTGGCTTGGTCTTGTCTGTAAGATTGGCTCCTTTAGGTCATCTTCTGTAAATTCTTTAGCTGATAAGATTTTTTTAAAAAAAGATAGGTTACAGAAAAGTCAAATTTCATTCTATTACATCTATATATTTCAGCTTCCCAAAGACATAATTGTCTACTTGTAACTGATGTTCTCCAGGTGATTATCTTTGCACTAATACTGGTAGGGCTTATCCTTTAGAGATCCTTAGTCAGGGAATTCATTCCATAGCCATCCCAGAAAAATGAGTAATCCATGTTTAATGAAGTGGTATTTCCATTCAGTTCTTTCTAACTCCACAAGCACAATCAGGGATACACCAGGGTTAGGGAAGGTTGTGCATTTGCACAGAGCACCACTTGAAGAACATCACTTACAACTACCAACTTGTGTTTCTTCGTATTCTCTGTGATGTCACTAGCAAGAGACTAGCAATATGTTATACCTGGAGTGGGTGCTGTAGCTTCATGTAGAGACTCTTCAGAACCAATCTTCCAAAACTGGCATCTGCTCTGGAGCACACATCCATAATGTTTGATAAAAGTCAATGGAATCAATCAGGTTTCTGCTCTGCATAACAGCATAACAGGAGGTAGCTATACCTCTTTTGGAATGAGCCTTGACAACCAAAGAGCTGACCAGATAGCTCATAACAGTGATTTCTGGCAATAATAATTGATTCAGACAGAGGCTACATGGGGATGGGACACATGTGACCCAAACATTTCCCTGGCAATCCCACTCCACTCAGATCAAAAATTCTTCTACAGGGTAGGGTATGTGTGGCAATTTTGTTATATTCTGAGGGGGAGCAACACCCATCAAGATTTTAAAGCACTAGAGGGTGTAGTAACCCCTCAGTTTTTGTAAGAAAAATTGGAATTGTGGCTTGTGGGAATGGATATGGCCCTTCCAGTCTATGGAATGGTATTTGTGGTCCCAGAATCTCTGGAGAATATCCACTGCTGTGTTTTAACAACACCCATAATCCCTTAATAAGATCTAAATGAGCAGACTTCAGTCCTGATGGCACAAGGCTGTCTAAATTAAGAAAAGTAACTTGTGCCCAATGAACATTTAGGATGTGGAGGGCTTGTTCTCATTCATTCATCAGATTTGACAAAGGGATAATCTCCTAGTGGAGATGTATGGAGATATTTGGTGGGCAAGTATGCAATATTGCAACAGAAGATCTGCTTATCACAACATACATTTTAAGTCAAGACACAATGCAGAATTACCAACTTGGGGTAGATATGAAGGTAATCAGCAAGCCTTTTTCTTTTTTCTTATTAGAACAACAAATCCGAAGTCTATATTCTCAGAGTAATCAACAGTACTGTAATTTACTGTTTAAATATAAATTTAAATGTATGCATTGTTGTCGGTCTTGACTGCATATGTTTTGTAAACAACTGTTAACCAGCATACAAACCCAATAAACATATAAGCATAATTTTAAAAGAAAAGCAATCTTCAGGAACAACAGGATTGTGTCATCAACACCTGGATGGATGAACTGGGTTGAATATGTTCAAGCTTTGTTCACCTGGGTATACCAGCAGAGCATGGGTGAGGGAGAAATGCAGTTGTATATGAGATTTTCTCCCTTACCATGGAGGTGCTGGGTTTGAATGTTTGTACTTGATGATGGACCTCAAAAAAAGTTAGGGATCCAGTTCACTCTCTGCTTCATGGCACTTCAATGATGGAATACTCAACAGTCTATCTTATTCCCCATGCTACTTAAAAATCTATATAAAGCTGCTGGGTGAGATTACGAAGAGATTTGGAGTGAAGTCAGCAATAAGTAGATGACAATCAGCAATATTCCTCCATATAATTTGATTTGGAAGATGCTCAGTAGACAGCCAAATAAGAAAAATAAGCTGAGGCTGAAAACTAGTAAGAGGAAAGCTTGGTCAGGAATGGGATGAATCACTGCTGCACTCCATTTAAAAGACCAGGTTCATGGCTTCTCAACGCTATCTTGAGGGCCAAGCAGCCTGGATGCCTTTGATTAATTGATCAGCTGTGATCATTCCTGGCCAGGAGCAGTCTGACTACAACTCTGCGTAGGCATTCTTCAGTCTTGAGAGACAATGGTAACGTGCTCTGAATAAAGTATTGGAACAGCATCTAGTGTGGCTGAGAAGGCCAATTTGAGAGTGAAAATCCCTTCCACACTGAAGACAAATACAATCTGTCCCCTGTCCAGCTCCCTGATTTTGCTGGTTTCAGGACTGTGTCTTTGCCTCGGCCTGCTGAACAAGTGTCTCTTCATATTGGGAGAGGCCATGATGCACCACCTGCCTCCAGGCTGAATGCTCAGATGTCAAAGTTTCCCATCTGTTGAGGTCCATTCCTAAGGTCTCCAGATCTCACTTACACATATCCTTGTATCGCAGCTGTGGTCTCCCTCTGGGGCACTTTCCACAGGAGATACAGGAGATCTTTTGGAATCCGACCATCAGCCAGTCTCACAACATGCCCGAGCTAATGCAGACGTCACTGTTTCAGTAATGTATACATGCTAAAAATTCCAGCTCATTCTAGGACTACTCTATTTGGATATTTGTCCTGTCAGGTGATACCAAAAATACGTCGGAGGCAACGCATATGGAACGTGTTTAGCTTTCTCTCCTGTACCTTCTCAATTAAATTACAGTATTGTAATATTTTGTGTGCAGGGATGCCCTTGAAAATGACTTGACCATTTCAGCTAAGCGCAGAATGCACCAATCGGAATTGTTAACCCATAGAACTGTGTGAGTCTGGACCCGGCACTCACCATGGAGACTCAGGTGGCATTGGTGGTCCGTACCGCCTTTTCCCATCTTTGGTGGATAGCCCAGCTGTGACTCTATCTCAACACGGGGGCGCTCACTACCTTGGTACATGCGCTTGTAATCTCAAGATTAGACCACTGTAATGTGTTCTATGTGGGGCTACCTTTGAGGTTTATGCGGAAACTCCAAGTGGTGCAGAATGCGGCGGCCAGACTCCTTAGCGGAGCGAGAAAATACAGTACCATCATATTTCTCCTATTCTGGCCGCATTGCACTGGCTGCCCATTTGGTTCCGCATTGACTTCAAAGTTATAATGCTTACGTATAAAGCCCTAAACGGTTTAGGACCTCGACATCTGGCGGAACGCCTACTCCCACCAAGATCTACCCGTACCACTCGAGCGAGTCAGGAGGTGAGGCTGAGGAGCTTGACACCGAGGGAGGCCTGGAAGGAAAAAACAAGAAACTGGGCCTTCTCGGCGGTAGCTCCTCGCCTCGGGAACAATCTGCCTCTGGAGATTTGTGTGGCTCCTTCATTTGGGTATTTTAAAAAATCAACTAAAAACATGGATGTTCAGGCAGGCCTTCCCTCCAGTTAATATCTGATTTCTTTCTTTTCTCTTTCTTGTTTATTTTTTTTATTTTTTCTTCTCCATCTGAAGTACTGGTCATTTAATGGAATAATTACTTTTGTTATATTTGCTTGTTATTTTATGTGTCTGTAAGCCACCTAGAGTGGTCGCAAGACCAGATAGGCAGGATACAAGTAGAATAAACAAATAAACAAACGAATGAATGAATGAATTTAAAAAAAAGAGCTGCACTGGCAACCTATTTCCTTCAGAAGCTGATACAAAATGTTGGTAATACTCCAAACAGCAAACATGAGTATTCTTTTAAGATTATTTAAGATTATCTTTTAAGATTATTCTTTTAAGATTATCAGAAAGGGCTCTTCTCCAACCGCTATGAGCATATTATGTTACAACAATGCTGTAAGTAGCCATTCTTAAACAAAATAACTACCAAGACAGGTTCCAGTATAAATTATCTGAACAAGCGGTTCAACTATATCTCCTGCAGTTTGAACAGCAACAAAGACTTTTATCACAGTAAAAACATTTCCAGACGGACGGTCAGCAATCTGAAGACATTGTGCAGCCATTCCATCTTCTTGTTACTGTATTTCCCATGGCAGGGGGGGAAAAAGTCAGAAGCAGCAGTGCTAAAATAAAGGAGTGTTTATGGATAGACAACACCATTGTTCGGAGCCCCAGTAAAATTCAGTGAATGAGCCACAGTGGTGGTATGGGAAAGACATCTGGAACCACCCCAGTCCTTAAAGCAAAAACGTAGGACTTTAAATGTGTCAGAAACATTTTAGATGTAGACAGGATTTCAGAGGAAGTGTGGCTGCCTTTCAGCACCTGGTTCTTCTGCTTCTTGGATGATTAAGACAGACTGGTTTTAACTGTCTCAATGCTTGAGGTTGCAAGTGCCTCCCTGAAGAAATCAAGGTCACCTGCTTTTCTTCAAAAAGCAGTGGCATATCATTTCTTGGAAAAGCAGGGTCTTCTCAGTGTTCAGAGTAGCGCTAGAGAATGCTCTCCCTAGAAAGGATCACTTATCCCTCAGTATAAAAGAAGGGACTCATCAAAAGATGTCAACACCCAAGCAAGCTAATGTGGGAGAATACCCTACTTCTGACAAGCAGGAGTCATGCCGGATGGGGATTTATGGGTGATGTCCTGGCTTTGAGGCAATCACCTGGCATGCACTGAAGGCTGGTTGGGTTGTTTCATCTGCATCTGTCTTTGTATTAGACTTGTCCTCACTGGCAACCCATTTTGATCTGATGATCTGTAGCTTAAGTTTTGATTAAAGATGGGGGTATTCGTATATCCCCCCACAAGTGTAGATAACGAGGGTCCAGCCCCCTGGGGCTAGACTGACCACTCACCATTCCACCGCTGCTGTGGGCTCCGGGCTCCCTTCCTATCGCTCTGGAGCTCATGATGGATTAGCCACTCTTTGACCTGGCAGAGAGGCTCATCATCCTGCCTCCTGTGAGGAGTGGCTAATCTGTCCGGAGCTCCAGAGTGATAGGAAGGGAGCCCGGAGCCCGCAGCAGCAACAGAATGTTGAGAGTTCGGTCTGGCCCCAGGGGGCTGGACCCTTGCTATCTGTACCTGGGGGGGGGGGAATATTCATATTTGTAAATGAATAGGAATACCCCCATCTCTAGTTTTGATGCTATAGCTATTTTATGTTATTTTATTTTTGTTTTTATTATATGCAATTGCATTTGTTAGAACTCAGTTGCTATAGGCCATTTTCTGTCCAAATACTCTATATTGTTTTCTGAAATAGTGAAAAGTTGATGCCCTTTGAAGCTGTATGGAGACTGCATTCAATTTTAAATTGCCATGTTTTATGGTTACAGCAATCCATTAGTATGAATATTTATTAGGAACCATTTAAATAATAAATGGAAAAGTTTGAATTGAAAACTAGTTAAACTGGTTTTTCCCTGTAGAGTCACAAATTGAAAAGGAAAATCAATCTACCTTGTCTCTTTCTCCTTCATATCTTTAGACAGCTATCTGTTCTAATGTTACAAATCACTTTTCAGTGCCTTCCATTTTTTTACAGAGCCATCCCGTAGTCTACCATCACTTCATTAGGCAGTTTCATCTATCCATTCTAAATCCAATATCTCTCCTTCCACTTACATATTAAATATGTAAAGTATTTGGAGAGAAGCCATCCCCACTACTCCTTGTACAGGTTTCTGATTTTTAAAAATGGCTCCCTCCTCCTCAGAATTCATTAGAAGCAGCAAAATTAGCCAGTATTTTCATCTCCCAGTTCTACTCAACAATGTTGAGTTTTGGGATTGACTATTTTATCTACATTCTACTTTTTGCACAAGACAAGGACCCAAGGCAGCTTAGCCTGGCTTGAAGAATGACTTGTTTTAAAGACTAGATTTCAGTCAAATAACTACAGGTTTCTTCTCAGTATGACAAACCCTGTTTAAGCACTAGCTAGTTCTGTCAGCTTATGTCCCAATCAATCTCACCATTCAACACAGACAAAGGGATAAGTAGGTGCCTCTATTCCTTTTCTATTCCTAGTGTTGTATTCTAAGGTACTGTGCTACAGAGGAAAGAAATATGGCCATATTGTGTTGCATAAAGAAGTAAGAAGGACTGCCAAATAAAAGTAAGCTCTTAGGTGCCTCTCTTGCAGTGTTTTTCAGAATTAAACAAACAGAACAGCATAAAAGAAAATTCAGGTTTCCTTACAGTTTTCAAATCTACATTTGTCCCAGTAGAGGTAAACGGACTAGTCATGCACATTATACCAGCATCTAAATTTGTAAATATTTTTGCATAACAATTAACAGAGAAAGCATGCATTTCACATTTCATCCCAACCCACACTTGTCCCACATTTTTACCTGCATCTTCAGAGAAAGGGCTGAGTTGTGTGTAGCCACACTGTTTTCTCTTTTCTTTACTGAAGATGCTATCTATGTTCAGTGACTCCCTCTTGGGTCTCCAAGCCGGACGGGACTTGCTAGAAGAACTTGATTTGGATTCACTACTGGTACTCTCCATTTCCCAGTCTCGAGCCTGAGCAGGCAGAGCTCTGGGAAGTGACTGCACTTCAGCCTGATCTTTTCCTCTTCGTGGGGAGCTCTGGTTTGTCTGTGACGGTCTGTTGTGGATCATGTTGCTAACAGTTTCTCTAAATTCCCTTAGTCTGCTGGTGCTGCTCATTGTCTTAGGGGCAGTTCTGGGGGCTTGTTTCTCCTTCAGTGTTTCCCCTGCAGTTTAAAAATGGAAGGGGGAGGAAGCATGAGCAACACAAATTGCTTCTTTTCAAATTAACAGCATCTCTTGCATAATCTTTTTCAACTAATACAGCCAGAAAAGAGACCTTGCCCTTATCCCAAATTGGAGACATACACAGATTTAGGAACTAAACTATTCTTGCCTTCACTGTGATATCCTGATGGTTGTGAGTCATCACCCTTTTTACGAGATTTGCTTGAACTCCTCTTGCGATCTGTTAGGGAGCCCTTTTTGGAAATATGCCTCTGATTACATTCACTGTCAGTCAGGTGTCCTGAAAGAACAGAATACATATCACATGGAAATACCATTTCAAGTGGCTGTTCAGCTTTCTAAGAACAAACAACTTGTCCACTACTTCAAATGTCACATATATAAAAATAAAGTTAAATGTTGGAGATTGAGTGAATTAACTCACTTTGAATAATTTGTACCTAGAATGAAGTAATCAAAACAGAAAGCAGCTAATGCTCAAGAGACTGTGGTTAATTAAGTAGTTAATCCACAGGAACTAGAGGCAATGCATTGCATCTTGGCTCAAAATGCTCCAGGGCCAGCATCTCACCAGATATAAATACTAACTCTCACCAGATGAGATGGCTATCTTCTATTTACTCTTTTTAGAAATATACTCTTGTGTCCCTTATTGGTATTCTGCCACAGCTATAAAGAATATTTTGGCATTTCTATGGGCAGACTTCATCTACAGGGACTACTATCTCACATTTTAAGAAATTCAGCATATTATGTAAGATACTAAAGGGGGGGGGCAAACCAAGCCTGAAATGGTTAAATGTATACTTAACAATATGAGTAATATGCAAATGAGTAACCTTTCAGCAAGCCCTCTTGGGTTCTTGCAACCGAAAACCTTGAAGCAAAGTCTTAGTCTTTACATCAGCAAAACAGGAGAATAAATCTTGATGCTACTGATACAGTAAAAGTACTACCGAACCATGAACTGCCATCCCTCTACAGTTCTCCTCACAGCTACAAGATTTGAGCAAGGGATGAGAGATAGCTTGGTGAGACATCCATACTGAATTATGTGGGATTATATTTGCTTTTGAGCAGGAGTTTCCACATAGAAGTCATTACTGTGATGTTCACACTAAGTAGAATTGCATTCAGTCCATGGCTTGATCCCATGAGATTTTCTGCCCAATTTCTAAGGCCCTCTGTTAAGTAATCAACTTGGTCTTTGTAAGATTGGTCTGTCCATTCCCATTAGCCTAGACTAGAAGAGGGAGGGACAGAGGAATAAAGACAAAAGAGTAAAATCACCTATGTTTGGCTGTGGTCTCACCCAATGCTGGCTTTCACCAAATGGACCTCTAGAATGTGACCTTTGATAGATTATTGCAAGTAGAATAAGGCATTTGACAGGAAAAAAAACGCATTGCCTGCCATTGGCTAGGTGATTCTTGGAGTTATAGGTGGGAAAGCAACTTTTCTACTCTGCCCAAATGAAGAAAAAGATTACCTGTGTCTCTGCTGCTTTGTGAAGCTGCATCATTTTCCACATTGTAAATGACAGTGCCTTGAGAATCAGAAGAGAAGTGACTAACCACAGATTCATGATGGGAGTGTTTATGGGCATAGCTGTCTGTAGAGGAGTCTGTCCTAGTGTCACTTGTGATAGAAGGCTCACGCCCTGTTAAAAGGAAATCCTGGGAGAATTAGAACTAGAAATGAGGAAAGTACTAAGATTAAAAAGACAAGATAGAAAACAGAAGATCAATAAAACAACAGCAACAAGAATCTCTCTGCATATCAGATTCTTGCACAAAAAGTTCTTTTTGTTATCAGTCAAATCCCTTCTCCTCCAAAATCCTACTGAAAATATATTGCATGTAACATAACTGCACAAGCAGTGCTTGCATTTTGACAGCCGTATGTCACATGGTCAGGCATACGACCAAATGCGCAACAAATTTACAACCTTGCAAGGCTTGTCAGAGCACACACCACTGGCAAGATTATACCCACAGCTCATGAAATTTCTAGTTTATGCTGTGCTAGCAGCATGATTCTATCCAAGGAGAACTGTATTCATCTTGAAAAATAACTTAATTAAATAAAACCAGCTTAATAGTTTTTTTAATACAACCTACTCTACATCAGTCAAATGTAAAGTTCTTACAGACATCTGTAAGACACTCACCTTGGCAAATATGCATGAATTATGTTACCAAAAAGCGACCAAACCTGTCTTTGAGACCTTCCTTGCTCACATGGATAACGCTGAAGAAAACTGGCATGTTTACTCAACATAAATTCTAGTTCTCAACATATTAAAGATGACATTAAATATTATGTGGGATAAACTTTCAAATTAAGACAAGAGACAGAATTAATAGTTATTTACCTCTCATATGCACTATGGGCTAAATCCAAAGTTTGTACCAAATAGTATAGTTTCATTGGAATGCATGGGACATGTTAAATAACAAGTAACATTAAGTTACATGTACTTGCTCTAATTGGGGGAGAGCCAGCATGGTGTAATGGATAGAGTGACAGACCACGACTGAAAGAGATCTGGGTTCAAATCTCCTCTCAGGCATGGAAACACATTGGAGGGTGGAGCTGCTAAAACCACTCCTTAAGTATCTCACAAACCTTGAAAGTTCTATTAGTATCACCGTAATTATTATTATTTATTTGATTTATACCCCGCTCATCTGGTCAAATCGATGGGTGCAACTCAACTTCACATAAGAACAAGAACAAACTCCAGTTGGGATGAAAATTGGATGTTGTTATTCTAGTGTACTGAGTAACAAACCAAGTCTACAAACAAAAGGGGTGGAAGCTCCCTTCTTCGTGAAGAACATGAGTTAATGGGAAGTAATATTTTCCCATTTTTTTTAAGGGGAGGCGTGAACCATCAGTAGCATATATAGTAACATTCCAGTGACAAAGGGCATGCATACAAATGGGGGAGATCTCCTACAAAACCTTCCTACCAAATGCAACATCAGCAGACAAAATACCCCAAACCACACAGCACATTTGCTTTGTAACTTGTGAATTCAGAATATTGGAAGCAAGTGATTAAGGAAGCTTGTTCACTAATTTAATTTACTCTGCTGTTAGTCATGAGGACAGAAAAAGGTGTTGCAGAACACCGAAACTCAGTCTTCTGACCACTAGGATTTTATTGTCATTCCTGTGGTTTCCAATAGGCATTGTTCACTGCTGGTACTAACAATCTAGGCATGATTCATCTTGAGTACTGACAAAAATACAGAAAAAAACTCAGAAATGGAAGAGTTCAAAAATATTACCTGAGTCTTCACTATCATAGTATGTCCTGCTATATTGCTGCAGATCTACTTGTGTGGGCACGTCTTGTGTTGATACGGGAGTTCCTCTTGGATCTGCATAAAGCAGTAGCAATGGCTGATAATGCCCTTTAATGCACTTGGTCACAACATCTTTCCATTTGGGGCCTATCTGAAATTTTTGCAAAAAGTAAAAAAAAAAAATCTTAGAAGCTACTTAAGTGATTTAACTTAAAGTGATGATTTATTTTACACTTTGCTGGTCTTCCGAGGTTTAGGTTGAACTTACATTGCATTGTAGCATTTAAAATAATACTTGTTTTTCTTTTATGAAGGACTATTTAACGCTCCATGGAAAAATTAAAATAAATAATTCACATCTGAAAAAGTTTTTTTCATTGCATGCCCTGCAATGCAAATTCAGTTAGCTATATTTGTTGTACTGGTGGAAAGATTCCATTGGTTACAACCTTTTACAGTGGTACCTTGGTTAACGTAATTTTTGGTTTACAAATGAAAATCCATTGAAAATAATGCCTCAGTTTACGAATTTTTTTCACAATATGAAGCACGTTTCCCCAGGATGCATTGCACCTGGGAGGTTTATAGAGCCCCCCCCCCATGCATGCTGGCGTCTGTGGATAGCATGTGGCATTGAGTGTGGAGGTGTTGGAGCGGTTTTTGCACCGAGTTTTAGAGACATTCTGGAATTTTTTTGCAGCGGTTTTGGAACTTTCTGGAACTTTTTTGGTCTCAAACAGTGGAAAGGTAGGGAGCTGAGCTTTGTTGTTTGCATGCCTTTTACTGTGTGTTCTGCCTTTAAAGTACACTTTATAAAGAGCTTTGAACAGACCTCCGGAACGGATTAATTGGTTTTTAATGCGTTCCTATGGGAAACCACGTTTCTGTTTACAAAATTTTTGCAACATGAAACGTCCTGGAGAAAGCATTAAATGTTTAAGCTGAGGTACCACCGTATTGACAATTATTATAAATTAGTACTACCAATGGATCCCATTCCCTCCTACCCCACCCCCCAAAATGCTCAAGAAGCTAGGTGTAAGGAGAAAAACAACCTCATGCTTCTAAGATGAAACAATTAATATGCATCAGAATGAATGTGCTGAAACAGATTTTCACAGCATGTAGTTCATTAACAACACCTTAAAAACATAATATTATCTGCTGCTGAAATACCATCACCACCTTTGTACGCAGAGAATTCCAAACATCACTTTTCCACAAACAGCTATTAAGGCAAACATCTCAAAAAGCAGGATTAAAACACATGGCCACACCCGTACCCACACTTTTGTTAAAATATATATATAATTGGCCAAAATTATGTTGCCCAAGTCACACTTGCAGAACGGTGATAACATCAGAAGTAGAGGGAGTTTTTTAGTAATTGATAACATCCTCCTTCTGTCTTACAACTTGTCTGATTTGCGAGGAATCCATTCCATTGCGTGGAAGCTGTGGAACAGGAAGAGGAAATTTTCAATTACTGGAAAACATTCCCTTCAAGTAATGTCATCTGATGGCCAAAATGTCTAGCACTTCGAGTTGCAAAAAAAGAAGGTTATGTTGTAAAAAGTGATGAGCTGAAATATGAGCACTCATTTTAAAATTATGTAAAAACTTTTAGGGGACAGAGAGACAGATATAGCTACATTGTCACTTGTCAACATTTTACTAATGTTTTTACTAATGTTTCTGCTTTTCTTACCTCTTTGACATGGGCATCATCAAAGTACATCCATTTGCGAATCTTTGTTTGGAAGAAGAAAGTGGAATAATGTTTTCCATAGTAACAGATCATTCCAACCAAATACAGTTCACACTGTTTTGCTCTGTCATCAGTTACTCTGAAGAAAAGCTTTAGAAGAGGAGAGAATAATCACAATACTGCACATTTTAAAGCTGAAAGCTATTGAAGACCACCTCTTTAAGCTTAAGACAATGCCCTGTTTATGTATTTTTTATTCCCATTAACTCGAAAAAGAAAGAGGAAATTGAAAAACAGTGATATAAACATATATAGGAGAGGCACATATTGCTGTAAGATATAAAACTCACATCTCCTAGTTTAAGGCAGGTGCCCAAGCTGTGAATGACATCCTCAGCCAGATCTGAGTGATCTGAGTCCCACACCAGTCCAATGGTGATAATCTGGGGAGAGTTCATTAGCACACGGCGAATACGAATTTTTTCCCCACAGTTGCTCTGGAAACATTCAAAAGGAAGCTCTAATTGAATACCTAAAACTGAATGAAATACAACTTCCAATTGAACAGTATGCTCCCAAACCACCTCCTAGCTTCTTAACTTTAGACAGAAATATCTTGAAATGTAACTGACTCAAATAGCAGAAATAAGCATGAATGCAGAAGGCACAGAATAAACTCTTCCAAATATTTACAGCCTATGAAGGAAATTATTTCAGTATACTGAAATTATGCAAGAAAGATGTAAAGATAGCAGTAGGAAAATTAATATGGTTAAAGCTATGACATTTTATGGTTCTCTTTTTGAAACAAGCCTAGCCTCTTTTATTTCATTATTAGTATAATACATTCTTAGGCTTTTTAATCAGTAAATTTCTTTAAAATATGTGTATTCTCTTTTCTGATTAACATACTTGAACACTGCTCCACAATGGACATATGCAAGAACACTTCAAAAGCACCAATAATGTAATTTTGCATAGGGGTAGATTAATCAAGGCAGCAGTAAGAGGGTCAAAATATTTTTTCAAAATTAATCTATGCTTCCCTCTTGTTTGAAATTCTCGGAAGATCTTTCCCAAATAAATAAAGGGAGACCCATAATAAAACTTAAACATTCCTATTAAGGGCTAAGAACAGGCATTTTCATTTTCTTTAATATTTCACAGTGTTTATGTTATAGTCAAACATGATTATGTGAGGGAACTATTATTGCACATTCAGGGAGTGAATGAGAATGGAAGATTTATTGCTCTCCTATTTCACTGGCTATGCTGCAACAAATCAGCGAAAGCCTTTCATTCTGCTTGGTCAAGTGGCTGTTGATGTGAAGAACTACTGAAGATATACAGCAAGAATGCAAGAGATACCAGAAACAAGGCTGTAGCCTTTGTTGGCCTAATTTTTAAGACAGAGACTTTCTGATAAAGGAAAGTCAATGACTGTGCATATTAATTGTGCTCTCTTTCCAGTTTGCCAAGTAGTATGGCATATAAGCAAATTTAAATAAATAATGATACCTGGGAAGAAAGAAGTAAAAAAAATCTCATCCAAACATATAGTATAACTGACAATTCTTAGAGAAATAGAAAGTGGCCCTAACTCTTCAACATATATATGGCTGGAGCTAGGATCTCCCCAGTTAAGCCAAACTTCAGAGCTATCTACCGATAAGTATTCCTGCTATTTTAAATATGTTGATGAACTGAATACTAAAAGGGTCTGAATTCAGATACAAATTTCAATAAAGTTTCCCCTAATCAGTCTACAGCTTCAATTTAAGGCAAAGAATATATACAAACCGGGCAGTTTCTCAAGTCACCCATGGTACTGGCATTTTGCAGCAACTCTCCAAACATATCCGGAGTGGGTTTCTCTCGTCGTTCAAGCATACAAATTGCCTGATTGCTTTAAGTTAAAAAACAAACAAACAACCAGAACATTGTTACAAACAAAATTATACTTGCAGCTTAAAGAGCACTTCAATCAAAACAATTGCTGAAATTCTGTTACTTTTTTGTGCATGGGGAAGGCAAACAATGTAATATTCATCCACTTCTAGCCAGCAATTAATGGGCCCATGCTGGGATTCTAGAGTATGCACCAGGGCAGCAGGAGTCCCTAAGAATCACAGCAACAATTAATTAATTGCTGGCTAGGAGTAAGTAAATGTTACACCTGCATCATGTAACGAGCTCATTTGTAAAAAAATTAATAAATGAGGGGTTAGGTATAAATTATGTCTGGAACCTGCTAATGATTTTTGAGAGCATCCCCTATTCAGTTATGCAGCCATAGAGAGAAATGACTAGAACAAAGAGGTTTTTGTTTTCTCATGCAAAAAAAATCACAAACTTACCAGAGTGAAGTGGTTGAGATATAATGCACCATCTGGATAAAGGGCAATGGGTCAGAGGTAGCACCACAACTGGTACAGACACACTAAAAATAAAATAAAATACTTTTAAATCAAAAAGATGCACATTTCCACATCTGTTATTTTTTCATCACATGACTAAATTAGGGTGGAATGGATTGGTGTCATACCTGCTCAAATAAGGTCATTGCAAACTTCTGGTGGGAAATGCAGTGTGGGGCAGTACAGATGTCTTCTTTAGACTCATCTGCAATGTGGAAATGAATCCTCATTAAGAGGTTTTCCTATATCCAGGAAGAGATCAAAGGAAAATAACAGTAATTAGAAAATTAATGAAAAATGGCATTTTAGGCTCAGGTGAGTTTTTTTAAAATACTGTCAAAATAGTGGGCTGACATAGACTGACAGCCATAGTATAGCTATCCACTTACTGACCTTGTACAGCCTTACTACGTTCTGTTCAATGATTTCTAAATCAACTACAATACTGGCTTAGCATCTGGTAAAGGAGACCAATAAAGATACTAAGTTTTCATAAGGATTCAGCCTTAACTATCACTAATTTTGAACACTTATCCCAGCTCATCAGTTTGTGACACTTAAAATCATCACATATTGTGAGAAAACATGTTTGCTTATGCCAGGCATGCCATCTTCTCTTAATAAAATGAACATGCAGACACCCTGTAACAGGCTATAGAATTTACTCTAAATTTATGTAGAAAGTACACTGCCCAGATCACCCAAGAAATCCAATGGCTTTGCAAAGTAAGTTGCACTAGGGTAGGCGCATTGGTAATAGAATCAAAGCCTTGGAAGGGGCCTGTAAGGTCCAAACCCCTGCTCAACCCAGGAATCCAAGATAAAGGGTATGTGGCAGACAGCTGTCTAACTGTCTCTTGGATGCCTCCAGTGCTAGAGCACTAACTGGTGAGTCAACTCCACTGTATGTTCTATTGATTCAAATGGGCACTGGAACAATTTAAATTAATAGAAAGTTTCCTATCACTCACTTTCAGGTTCTGAGGCTCCCTAGGGCTTCCTTTAGCCCTGTGGAAGCCTTTGGAAGGGTGGGGCAGGGAGCCTTTAATAGTAAAGAAACTGCTGAGAGATCCCTACTGCTGGGATTGGCACTGCCAGCAGTGATCTGGCAGAGATTTTTACTACTGGCAGAGATTTTTACTACTGGAACAAGTTGAACATTGTTCTTTTCCTTCCTTCTGTCTTCACCCAAATATACATTTTAACTCATATGAATAAGGAACAATATTTTCTTTGCTGAAAGCTACTGTACTGTATCCGACACCATTTAGCAAGGTGAGGCATTTTTACTTATTTTGAAAGGACATGCGACCATTCCACAGATGTCACACTCACAAAGCATTCAGCAGCATCATCCATTATGCCCAGCTGGAAACGCTGCTCATCTTGAAAAGTCTTTGCAAGTGCACTACGAAGAGCATCAGAAGGTAACACTTTCTCACTGCTGCACTGGAACTGGTTAAAGATACCCTAAGGAGGGTGAAAAGAGATAAAAGTTTGTTTTTATTACAAAATGATTACAGAATTTCCAATGACTCCTGCCAGAGGCACAGAATATAAATTACATTGATCATATTCTCTGAAATGGATGGCTATACTCGTTGTTGCTTACAATATGTCACACTAGAGTAGGCCCACTGAACTTGAGATTTGATAATTCAACTCCTTTCTAAGTTCCACAGATTCAAATAAGCCTGCTCTAGTTGTGACTTACTTAAGCACAGTAAGTCACAACTATAGGAGCGCTATTTGAATTAATGGAACTAATAGGAAAGTTGACCCACTGGGCTTACTTAAGCGAATCTTAGTATTCGAAATGGACATGAATGGCTGATTCAGCCTGGTTTGTTTATTGTCACAACAGGTGTTAATTGGGTCGCACCCTACCCCCTCCAGTGGGTGCCTGCTCGGAAGCAGCATTCTAGCTTCCCTGCCCCACCTCCTCTGAGAGCTACTTCTGAGTGGATGCCAAACTGTCAGACACACGTTGTGATGGGAAATGAACTAGGCCGAATCACCAAACAAACAGTTTGTGTCCATCTCCACTTCGTAAAGAATCCTCATGAATTCCAATGTCCCTTTAATGGAAGGCATTGCCAGTTTTCCAAATGTGTGCATGTCTGTCTCTCTCTCTTGTCCCTGTCTATCTGTCTCTCTCAGTAGCAGTAATCAATAGATCTGATTTTTAAAAAATCCCATGTATTTTTGTGTATACAGAAAACAATGGTAAAAATTGCAAACAACTAAAAAATTGAATTTTTTTACAACTGTGCAGATAACTATGTTACAGAATACCTATAACGTAGATAAACTTAAGTAAAAAGGTTTATATAAGAGGACCTGAGGAAAAAGAATAATGCAAAATATGTCAGTTAGGGTAAAGGAAAACTGTTATAAAGTAATATGGAGATGGCATCTAACACCAATGAACTTGAATGCATTGAATAAACAGTTATCACCAATATGCTGGAGATGAAAAAAAGAAAGGGGGAACATACTATCATATGTGGTGGGCATGTGAAGAGAGACAGAAGGAATGGATGATTATATTTAATGAGATTTAAGAAATTATCAAGACGAATATACAAAGATGTCCAATGTTAGGTTGTTAAATATATTTGGAAACAGTCAGATAGGGGAAAGTTTGAACTGACCTATTATGTTAACAGCAGCTAGATTGATATTTGCAAGGAACTGGAAAAATAATAATCAATTGATATTGGAAAAATGGTATAGATGGATGATTATATTTAATGAGATTTAAGAAATTATCAAGACGAATATACAAAGATGTCCAATGTTAGGTTGTTAAATATATTTGGAAACAGTCAGATAGGGGAAAGTTTGAACTGACCTATTATGTTAACAGCAGCTAGATTGATATTTGCAAGGAACTGGAAAAATAATAATCAATTGATATTGGAAAAATGGTATAGACAGGGCTTGAAAAATGCACTTGTCCACTTCTCTGTGACAAGTGAAAAATGCTGCTCGACAAGTCACAGCTCCCTCCCTCCCTGCCTCCTTCCCCTCAACCTGTCTCTTTCTCTCTAATCCTGCAGTCCTCCCCCCTCCCATTGCAAAAGGAAAACTGCCCTCTTTTTGCGAGAAGAGAGTTTGAGCAGCACATAGAGATATAGCTCTGCAGGAGAATGTAGAATAAAGCAAAGCAAAGTGTGCTGCTTATATACCGCCCCATAGTGGGCGGTTTACAAGTCAATTATGCAGGCTACACATTGCCCTCGCCCCCAGCAAGCTGAGTACTCATTTTACCGACCTTGGAAGGATAGAAGGCTGAGTCAACCTTGAGCCGGCTATCTGGGATTGAACCCCAGGTCATGAGCACAGTTTTGGCTGCAGTACAGCAGTTTAACCACTGTGCCACGAATAGTCTTATGCTGGAGAATATGGAGATTCCCTGCTCTCAATTTTAAATGAACGAGGACACATCCTGGAGTGGGAGGGAACCGTGGCTCCTTAAGAGGCCGGGTGCTTTTGCTTTCAGTTTTATTTTTGCTGGAGACATTCAAAAGAAAGGCATTCAAAATACAAGTTTCATGACCCCATAGGCATTCAGGTAATAAAGCAACCCAAGTCTGAGGGCATAAATCAGTGATTCCCAATGTTGGGTCAACCCAGGTGTCCTTGGATTGGTTCTTGTGCTGGCCAACTGCTGGTGAAGACCTCTGGGAATTGCAGTCCAAGAACACCTGGGAGGACCCTGGATTGGGAATCAGCACAGCTGGTGGTGAAAGCTTCTGGGAATTCCAGTCCAAAAACACTTGGGGGGGGGTCCTAGATTGGGAATCAGCACAGTTGGTGGTGAAGGCTTCTGGGAATTGCAGTCCAAGACAGGAAATGATGGGAAATTTAAATTCCCCCACCCTCAATGAAGCAAACCAAAAAACAAAAGCAAAAGGAAAAGACAAAGAACAATGAAAAAAACTTTTTAAAGGCATACAAGCGACAAAGACAGCTCCCTACCTTTCCATACCACTGGAGAACTGCACCAAAATCTACTTATTAATTAATTAATTATTTAACTGAAAATATTTATATACCTCCTTTCTTCCCCTAAGAAGACACAGGCAAATACCGTGTACGTAATACAATTTAGTTTGGGTTTGTATGCATTGTTACGTAGAAATAAAAGTGAACAAGTGCCTAGTTTAAATTTGTTAAAATAAACTGCAAGGCTATAGTCCGGTCATGCTGACTGGTGAAATTTTTGACTGACTGGTGAGACATTCTAAAATTTTTCAAGCCCTGGGTATAGAGATGTGGAATCTAGCTATATATGATAAATTAGCTTGTGGATTGAAAGTTAGAAAATAATTATTGAAAGAACATAGGTTAAATGGGATCTAGAACCCTTATATAGAATATGTATTATACCCCAACACAAGAATTATATTTTTGGAAAGAGACGAGGCATATGATATAAATTAAGATGAAACATATAGATGAGAATATGTAGATTATACTCCCAATGGTGGTGGGTTACACTATATATTTGAGTTACGGTTCTATTTGCCATTTACATTTTTGTTATATTTTGTTATATTTTAAAAAATTGTATCATGTATTCCCCTTTTGCAAGATAAATATCATTTTTTTAAAAATATATCTTCTCTGTTCTATCTATAATGTATATATTCTCCTTATATAAATGGCGGGTCAAAAGTTTAATAGCAACAACAGTAATAATAGCAGAAAGATACATGGAAAACATTGGTTGTAGCTGTGGGAACCTTAAAAACCAAAATAGACCTTTTAGCTGTTGACAATAAAGGGTGTGTGTAAAAAGAGACATGTTTTTCTTTTTTCTTTTCACAACATGGACTTCCTCACCAAAACCGGAACAGCATTTTATAAATAAATAATAAATACATTTTTAATCCTTATTACTAACCTAAACAGTTTGTGTCTTGTCTGCCTTGTCTTTGACCTCAGAAGACACCCTTTCTAATCAGAAAATTAATCCTGATTTTAATTCATATGGGAAACTACAAATACATCTGAAGATGTACATATATTTCTGCAGCATACGAAGTATATGGCAAATAAAAAACTCTTAACACCTTTGCTTCTAATGGACCACATGATTCTCTGTTCTTTTGTTGCAACAGATTAACTCAGCTACTCTCCTGAAAATGTCTAATACAGAAACACTAGTAGAATCTAAAAATCAATGCTGCATTCTTCTCAACCAAGAACAAAATACTCTTGTGTCCTACATCCTGGCACTATAATCTCTGAAAGGCAAACAAACTCTCTGTTGCATGCTTAGCACCATAGGCCAATTTCCTCCCTCCCTTTCCCTGAGCAGAGAAAAACCAACTCAAAAAATAGTACAAACATTAGATGAAATGGAAGAAAAATTCAAGGACTATGCACAGCCGATCTAAACTCCTAGGTTCACTCTAGGATAATAGTGCCTTCCACAAAGACAGCCTTCTGTTCCCTCATCAGGATATTAAGCATTTATTTTACATATATATGAAATCTTTCTCCCTCTCTCTTTCCTTCCAGTCCTTTTGAATAGTATTTGTAATGTTTGGGTTCCGGTGATCTCACCTCAAAGACAATCCATGTTCTGCTGATTTCTATCCATATTGAAGGGAATCAACCCAGAAATGGCGGACAGTACTGTACATTACTGTGGGGTAGCACAAACTTGTGAAGCTTAAAAAAAGTTAAGATACTGCTTTTTTGTCCTTTCTACTCAGTGCAAATAATGCACTTAACAAACACCACCACTGGCTTCAGTTTGGGTCCCGCTTCAACTTGGTGCCCATGTCAAAAGTCCAACTTATCAGCCCCCTAGGCCTGGCCCTTGACAACAGCATCAGAAAACTGTTCTCTTGTTTAAGCGCTGCTGCTTTCTACAACCTCTAAATAGCTTGCCTGAAATAAAGGAGAAACTTTGATACACAAATCACTACCAGCTACAACTGTATGCCACAGCTACAGCTGAAGTTTGTTAACATAAATTGCAATACGTGCATGAATTTCTTTGGATAATGAGCTAATGTTAAATTGAATTTAACATTTTATTTACTGACACACACTGTAGATTCATTTACATGGACAGAAGAATGTAACACTGTGGAACACAGCATCAATACTTCAGTAGAGTACTATATTTTTAAGAGTCAGTATGTCCTCGTGGACAGAGTGCTGGACTAGAACTCAGGAGACTTAGGCATTGTGCCTTTTCAGTAAGATCTCAGCAATGATAAAAGCCAGAAACATGAAAACTTGCACAGACATTTAAGTTAAATAAGTCTTTACTTAAAGAACAGGCTGGCTTATGTCTCCAATTGCTTGGAAGGCTAGGAGATTATGGCATTTGCAACCCCATCACTGAAATGGCAAAAACAGCAAACACAAGATTTTGCTCAGATATTACTGAGCTCCAATCTATATAACTGGGGAGTTTATACCTCAACTGGTGATGTTGCTTGAGGAATTTTGGGAGTTATAATCCAAATTACTGAAGCTACAAAATTTATGTTAAATACTCATGATTTCACAGGAGAACAACCTGGATAGGTGATATACTAGTGGCCAAGTCAGCTGGGGAATTCAGGCAATTTTAGCCTGAAGAAACAAACTACAGGGATTCAGTTCTCCTGCTTCAAAAGATCTCAAAAATAAGAGCTACAAACATGAAATTTTTGCTTAAGTACTACTTACATACCATCTTAAATTAAACTGTGTGCGTGGTATCTCAAATGACCACATTGTGGCTGGCTGATTCTGGGAGGTGTAAGTTCTCCAATGACAACTCTCAGATATACTAAATAGTATGAAGTAGAAACACAATAACTGTACTATGCGCCAACTTAAATAAAAGAATATTGTTTTCCCAATAGCAGTAACTGGATAGGTTGTTGTGGTTTTTTCGGGCTCTTTGGCCGTGTTCTGAAGGTTGTTCTTCCTAACGTTTCGCCAGTCTCTGTGGCCAGCATCTTCAGAGGACAGCACAGAGAACTGGTGAAACGTTAGGAAGAACAGCCTTCAGAACATGGCCAAAGAGCCCGAAAAACCCACAATAACCATTAGATCCCAGCCGTGAAAGCCTTCGTGAATACAATAACTGGATAGGTTAGCTCTTAATTGGCCTTTGCTACCTGCGGAAATCTGAAACTAAAAATCCAAGTACGTAATTTATTTCTGCAGATTCTGGGAATTGTAATCCTCTTACCTTGCAAGATCTCCAAACAGTAAGAAGTAGAAACATCAATCTGTTACAGATACTACTGAGATGAATTTGATACAAGTACCACTGCAATTTACATAGAGGCTGGAGGATTCTGGCAGTTCTATGTTTACTAAACTAGTTACTCGGATAATACTGATGTCTATACTTAAATAAGTGGATAAATTAACATATTGATTTGTCATGCAACTAATGGGATTCTGAGAACTGTAGTGCTGGAAAATTAGTTGGATAAGTCTGATTGTAGTCTTCTTAAACTGAAATATATCCATAACACTTTGGAATACTCCACCCTCTATACTCTTCTACAACTATCTTCAATGCAGCACACTCGTTGAGTGAAATGAATCTGTAGTACAGGTGCAACAAATGGGTTTCTACAAGCAAAATGGGACCCCTAGGATAGAGAGCAGTACAAAAGGAACAACAGGGAAGAGACAGGAGGCACTGTGATTATGGGTGGGACTGAAGGGTTTCAAAAACTAGTGCAAAACAAAGGCTGCACATGCTTGCTGTCCTCCTGCTGCCAGACAAAATTCTTGGCAAGAGAAAACAGTGCACAGTCACCAACAAGACCCAGTATGCGGGATTTTTACTTGGCCTGGCCACAGCTCACATCCCATTTTTGACCCATGGCAAGCCATCCAATGATTTGGAGGCTGGAGGGGAGTGGGAGATGTTCATGCCCTAACCTTTTACACTGAGCACACTAAAGATGTTATGTGAGAAGATTCAGAGTAGGTCCAATGCTGTCTTCTAAAAACTCTTTAAATGTAGCACCATTGTCCTTTTTTCTTCAGTGACCAGATGAAGAATTCCCATAGAAAGAAAGGAGAAGAAAAAAACTTCCTTCTCATTCTGTCCTACCTCTTGCTTCCCTTTGTGGTTTTTAGTTGTTACCAATATTATGAAATACATAATGTAAAAATAGTATAATATGACATTAAGTGTCTAATTAAAAACCTCCACAAAATGTCAGCTTCTGTGAACTACTTAAAAGGCCAGCAAAAGTGTTCCCAAGCTTCTGCACAGAGCACTTCCCAAAGAATATAAAATTAAACTTTAACCTAAAAAAAGACCTTATATTCATAAAATAAACATTATTAAATATTTGCAGCTTTACTGCTCCTTCCCACCAATTCACAGAGCTATTGAATAACTGTATATACAGCAAATAATTAGTCTTACTCCAACTTAAATAATTTTAAATAAGCTTTTCCACCTTCCTGAAATAATGCCAGAATATGGTATTAAAAAAGAGCATTGTTGGATCAACAATTCCAACATAACACACAGTGGCTAACTAGATGCCCATTAGGAACCTTCAGTTAGAATAAGTATAGCAGCACCTTCCCATTCATGATTCCAAGTAATTGGTATTCAGGAGCCTACCATCTCTGATCACTGGAGCAATATAGAGCTGCAAGAAACAGCCAGGGGTCCCTTTGTTCTCCATGAATCTGGGATATCCTCATTGCCACCTTGTCCGGTCAAAATTTTAAAACAAATAATTGAGGCAAGTCTCTTATGAGGGTGTTATACAGATGGGATTCACCAAAGAGACCTCTTTTTTAGGCCCCCTTTTTTATCTACCTGCCTCCTCTCACTTGATAGTTGCAAATAAAGAAAATTATATTATATTATTAAGGTAGGGCCCTATAGGAGGAGACACATCCTTCCAATAGACTGGCCAGAAGACATAGAGAGCCTTAAAGGTTAAAACTAGCACTTCACCCTCAGAAGCTGACTAGCAGCCAATTCTGCTTTCAAAGTACAGGTGCAATATATTGGTGAGTCCCAGTTAATAATCTAGCTTTTTAATTGAAGGACTGGGCTGTATTATTCATAGGTCTGACTAAACTGAAGCCTAGGGGCCTGCAGGGACTAGGGGTCCGTCAATTGACAAGGCTCAAGTTGTCAGCAGTAGTGGGGTGAAAGACTGAAGTGGGGGACGGGGCAGGAAATACCTGAAAGCCTAGGGGCCCGGCCATAGGTTAATATGGCCCCGTGTCCATACCATTTTCAAAGACAGCTCCGTATAAAATGCATTACAACAGTTCAAACTGAAATTATGATCCAAATGGAAGGTTACCAGAAATGTAACAAAAGTTGCAATGCTATATCTGTCCAAGTTAAGGTATTGGCTGATATTCCACAAATTTTTGCTTTATGTGCTGTTAAAAGATAAAAGATACTCTGAGCCAACACCAACACCTGTGCCTCTGGTGACTATGTTGGATCCATGGTTTTCTCTCTCCCAGTTGCATACATATTTTTTCTCTCTCCCAGTTGCATATATTTTTGTGAAGGAGGAGTCTAATATTTTCCATAAACTACTCACTATGTTGATTGGGAAGTGGTTCCCTGCCCTAAGGGGCAGGGGACCACTCCTCAGTACAGTAAGAAAGTATTGTGAACTGCAGTACTTACTTTGAGGGCACAAAATATACAGGAATCTCCCATGCATTTGTGTGTTGTAAGTTGTCGAAAACTGCGCCGGAAGATATCAAGATGCCAGAGGACCTGTTAAAAAAATGGAATAACAAATTACAGTTTTTATCAATTAAATAGTTGCCTTTGGCATGAAGTTTTATCCACGTTTACTCACATTTTCAAGGAACCCCAAAAGGCTGCTGAACTCAAGCTTTTTCTTTTTCACGAGGACCTGTCCTACTTGACACTGGTGAAAACTGAACCTGGCACTCTTGCCAAGAAAGCATGCACTCTACCACTGAGCTACAGTCCTTCCTCTATTACAGCACGTATTTTCATCACTTTACTCTGCAGGATACCCAGTGTGATGTACCGAACAAAGTGAGAGACTAGGACTCTGGAGACCAAGGTTTGAACCCCCGCTCAGCCATGAAAACTCACTGGGGTAGTATTTATTGATTGATTGATTTGATTTGATTTGTACCCCGGCCATCTGGTCTATACGACCACTCTAGGCAGCTTCCTGTACAGTCATGGCCCACTTAATGATCACCCCGTATAACAACGAATCCGCTTCATGACGATGTTTTTGCGATCTCAATTGCGATCGTAAAACGATGTTTTAAGTGGGTTTTTTTCGCTTTGCGAAGATCAGTTCCATGCTTTGGGAACCGATTCTTTGCATTACGACGATCAAAACAGCTGATCGTCGGGTTTTCAAAATGGCCACCGGGTGCTCAAAATGGCTCCCCGCTGTGTTTTTGGACGGATTCCTCGCTGTACTGGCACTGAAAATGGTCGCCCCTATGGAGGATCTTCGCTGGACGGTGAGTTTTTCAGCCCATTGGAATGCATTGAACGGTTTTCAATACGCTTCAATGGGCTTTTTTATTTCGCTTTATGATGTTTTCGCTCTACAGCGATTTCGCTGGAACGAATTAACGTCGTTAAGCAAGGCACCACTGTACAGGTAAAACCACTCCTTAAATATGTCAGGGCCTGATCACACGAGGCATATGTTCCTCACTTCTAACTATACTTTCCATATCTCTGTTGTACTGAATTACTGTTACGTGGTATATATACCCGGACAAACATTCCCATTTGTTTTAATGTTACCAATTCATTTCCTATTTGAACTGTTATGGCTGGCTACACTGCGGAACCGATTTATTTTCTGTCATGTCTCCTGGGGCAGTGCAGCCCTTTACTTTATATTTTCTTAAAGTAAAAAATTAAAGCTGCTAACCCATTCCTCCCTCCCTCCCTCCACCAGCAAAGGCCAGGCATACCCGTTGGTGCCCCTGTACTGAGCCCCATGGGGCGGGCACGCTTCTTTGAGGGGGTGCTCCTTCTTCATTTTCCATGGCAGGACTGATGTTTACACATGCAATACCAGTAAAGAATGTTCCAATACATCATCAGAACAAAATAACACAACCCTCTCAGCAAAGGGGAAATAAACCGCAGTTCAACCGGTGGCCAGGGAAATAATTTGATAATGGCTGTGCATTATGTGACTGAAAATTTATGTAACAATTTAACTGGGGTATAATTAAGGAACATTTGCCTTATGTGATCAGGTCCTCACTTACTTTGAAAGCCCTGTTAGCATCACTATAAATCAGTTCCAAGATGACAGAACGTAACAACGCAACCCTGCAGATGGAAAACTAAAAGTCTTGCCAAGAGTTATGACTCTGTATTTCAGATACGCTCAAATTGCTGCTTTATTGTAAACATCTAGTACTGAAGGATGTCATCTTCATAAAGTCACAGAATCAGAATTGTGGAGATGGAAGGGACCCCAAATGTCATCAGGTCCAGTTCTCTGCAAAAAGCAGAAAATCCAGTGATAAAGCAACTGTGACAGGTGACCATTTAATCTCTGATTAAAAACCTCAAATTCTTATAGTCAAGAATTTCTGCCTAACGTTTAATAAAAATCGCTTCTATGGTAATTTGCATCCATTGTGTCGAGTCCTATCTTCTGGGGCTGGAGAAGCCAAGCTTGCTTTACTTTCCTCATGACAGCCTTAAAGCATTTGGAGTTGGCTATCATGTCATCTCTCAGTTATCTCTTCTCTAAGCTAAACAAGCCCAGAGCCCTCATCAATGGTTCTTCACAGAACTGAAGTTACCAGATCTTGTATCATCTGGTCACCCTTCTCTGGACATGTTCTAGGTTCTCAATATCCTTCTTAGACTGGGGCTCCCAGAACTGAACACAGTATTCCAGGTGAGGCCTGACCAAAGCCGAGTAGAGTGGTACTATTATTTTCCTTGAACTTGACACTCTACTTCTATTGGTACAGTCTAATATAGCACTGGGTTGTGGTTTTTTGCTCCTACATCTCATAGGAATTGCTTGGGACTGTGGCTTCAGCACCTTGTTTTAAGAAATTTTCATATAACAGGGACTCCCTTTTCTTTGAGTATTTATGACCGCTGGATTTCACTTGATATTTTCTTTAAAATGTTGAAATCAGCTTTCCTAAAGAGTGCATGTTATAGTCTTTCTCAACAAAGGCAATATGACACACACACACACCCAGGGTCTGTTGAACATTGGAAGGGAGCCACAGACTGGAAACAATTCTTCACAGACCACCGTAGAAGGTGCATTATGCAACTTCTACGATCCTGATTCAGCTTATATTTCTTTTCTATTGTGTTTATGGCCATGGCCCAAAAAAAAGAAAAGAAAAGAAAAGAAAAGAAAAGAAAAGAAAAAAAGATTGAGAATGTCTATTATCTCCTTTCCCTTTCTTCAGAATAACAAACCCCAAGAGGGTATGATCACTTCCATCCCAAGTACCCACTATTTCCACTTTATTAACCAGATCCTCCCTACTAGTCAGGACCAGATCGGACAGTTGATTTTCTTGCCACTTCTTCCATCTTCTAGAAGATGAAGTTTTCTACAAGGTAAGTGAGGAATTTGGTGGCTCTTACACTTTTGGTAAATTTGAACTTCCAGTAGATATCAGGATAGACGGAATCTTCCATTATTATTATGTCTCTTCTATTTGAATATTTGTATACACACACACACACACACACACACAGAGAGAGAGAGAGAGAGAGAGAGAGAGAGAGAGAGAGAATATATGAGGGCATCAGATGCAGATCAGTGGTACCCAACCTTCGGTCCCCATATGTTTTTGGACTACAGCTACCAGAAATCCCGGCCAGCACAGCTAGTGGTGAAAGCTTCTGAGAGTTTTAGTTCAATAACACCTGGGAACCCAAGGTTGAGAACCACTGATGTAGACTGTCAGTATGGTTAGAAGGTCTGTAGTAGACCACCCCCCAGTGATTTCACTGTTTTTTATTTCTTCTTTGATTTTTACCCAGATGATCTCAACAGTCCTTCCATGATCCAACGTATGGATCTTTTCGAGGTGGTACTTATCTCTAACATACAATGCTATTCCTCTTCCTTTCCTGTTTTGCCTTTTCTTTTTAAATATGTTATCCCCTTCAGTCTCTACATTGCAGTCGTGAGCCTCATTCATGTTATCCCCTTCAGTCTCTACATTGCAGCCTCATTGCACCAGGTTTTAATAGGTTTCAGCACTAGAGATGGGGGTATTCATATTTGTATACTAATATGAATATCCCCACACAGCTGGAGTTAACAAGGGTCTGCCCCTGGGGCAGCAGTGACCTCACTCATCCTTCCAATCACTCCAGGAGCCCTGCTCTCTTCCTGCTTGGCTAGCTATTCCAGGCAAGGGGACGGAGGGCAAGTACTGTATCCTTGCATGGCTGCCGAGTGGCTAGCTGAGCAGGAAGATAGCGGGGCTCCGGGAGTGACTGGAAGGATGAGGCCACCGTCAGCAGACACCTGAGTGGACAGTCTGACCTGAGGGGGCGGTCTCTTGCTAACTCCAGCTGCACAGGGATACAGTATTTGTGTAAGAATACAAATACCCCCATTTCTGTTTAGTACCTATTAAATCATATTCGCCTTCCTGTGCTAAAAGTTCAAGCACTGTTTCATGACAGTCTGACCTGAGGGGGCGGTCTCTTGTTAACTCCAGCTGCACAGGGAGGGATACAGTATTTGTTTAAGAATACAAATACCCCCATCTCTGTTTAGTACCTATTAAATCATATTTGCCTTCCTGTGCTAAAAGTGCTAAAAGTTCAAGCACTGTTTCACATGCTCTAGATAGAAATGTCTGAAACAGAAGTTGATCCTCTTCAATGCTGATCTTTCCCCACTATTGGTGAGTCCTTGTACCACCATCCCAGTTTCTGATGCATCAGTGACATTCTTATCCTAGTAGTCTACTCCTTTAACACAGGAATATTATCACTTGCTCTGGCAGAGATCAGTTTAAAGCTCTCCTGACCAGCTTACCAAGAGTTCATAAAACTGTTTTCCCCAACTCTCAAAAGGTGCAACTCATCATTTGACAGGAGTCCTTCTTCATGGAAGCGCAAACCAAGAAACCAAAATTTTCATGTTGACATAATCTGAGCAACCACTTGTTGGCTTCCAGTATTCTTGTCTCTCTTCCTGGGCCATACCTTTGACAAGAAAGAGTGATAGAACAACAATAGAGATGTTCCGAGGTCCTTCAGCGTCAGACTCAGTGCCTTGTAGTCACTTGCAATATGCTGAAGGATGTTTGATAGTATCTGATTCCCATGTGAATCAGAAGAAAGGAATTATGGTAATTGGTTTGATAATCCTGGCAAGATGTCAACATGGGTCTTTGTCCCGGAGAGGCAGCACACTTCCCAAAACACATGGTCAGGTTCACAAATGCTTCCTCTGTCCCTTTCACGAGAGAGTATCCTACTACCGCTACACACCTCTTTCTTCTTTGAGCACTAGCACAAATCCTTCCATCCATACTACCATCCATGGCCACTTTCCTGCTCTCTGCTGCCTGCTGACCCTGTTTTAGCAATTCAAAATCACTGACTGCAAAGAGGGCCTGGAATTGCTGTCCTTGCTGCAGGAACCAAATCACTGCCTGCAGGAGAGCTAGGGACTCCTGTTCCTTTTCCTGCAGCCCAGAATCACCTTCTGTGGAAAGGGTCTCTGAGGGCCTGTTTCTTCACAGTTTATTTTTAGAAATAATATTCAATACTTGTAAGTTTAAAAATGCAACTACAACTATAAATAAAATAACTCAGTGTCCTGGACATGTGCTAATAGAGTTAACAAAGACAGCCTACATTCCTCTCACTGAGGGAAGGTAAACTAACATCTCTTTTCTTCTTGGCTATTGATCAAGATCCAGTTCTCTAAAACGAGGAATCATTATCAACTTGTTTATACCAAACAGGGCACTTCCAGATGAGACCTCCATTATGTAATCGCCCCATCTAATTAATGGCATTCTACGGATCCCATTGCCTCCCACTTAAAATCCTCCTGCATTTCCCACTGCTTTTCGTATCTTTTTGATTTGCAGCTCGGGGGAGGGGAAATATAATAGCACCATGATGTCTTTTGATTCCCAGTGTTAGAAGGCATCCATCTGGAAGTACTCAGTTTCCTCAAAGCATCCAAAGGAGAGAACATGGAAAAAGAAAAACTGATAATAAGTGTAATAAGTGTTTTTTTTTTTAATGTGTTCAGCTGAACCTTACAAGGAGGGTTAAAAAACCTAGCTTGGCTACCAAAACATACCACGTTTACAATATTCAATTCCAGCGAGGAGATTTAATTGTTTATCATTTTATACGCAATGATTGACCATGTTGTACTTCTTGCTCAACAGTTCTCTATGAAACATGCATTCTTCACTAATGTCTCCTCAGGAATGGCATATCAAAATTGGTATGACACCATCCACAGGTCTGAAGCAAGTAACAGCCTCTCCTAGTTCTGTTCCCAAACAACAGGAGCACACATCTCTGATGAAACTTTCCAGTTACTCTACGTGCTTCTACCAACAACCTCAAAACATAGCAGATAAAACCAACAAAAAGTCTATCCCAGGTCTTCACTGATGTTGCTGAGTCTTGAACAAACAATTAGATCAAATGTTTCACAATTCCTTTTTTAAGTGTAGCACAATACATATCACTTAACTCCTACTAAGCATAATATTCAGTTAATCCAAAATGTTATAAACAAATTACCTGACATTAACTCACGTTAACGATAATAAAAATAAACGCTTACCTCTCATTAGTGAGCACAACTTTCACAATATAGCTTGTTTGAAAACTCTATATCTAGACTACCCTGACCCAATTTCACATCTAACTCTATTGCCAACAGTCTTGTCCTCTTACATGATTTCCAAGTAATATATGCTACCATTCTGAAACACAAATATATGAACTTATACAAGAAGCTTTCCTTACAAAACCAAATATGGAAAAATGCAGCAAAAAAAATAATAAAATGTAAAAAACACACACAGTAGTATAAACTTGCCTAAATGTCTTCTTGTTCTAACTTAGCCTACACGAAACATTTAGAGATGGCACTGTTTTAAACTCCCTGAGTTACTTTCAAAATGGCACCATTTTTATGGCAGACTAGGTCTTGCTAGGACTTAGATCCAAGATAGGGAACATTTTCTTGTACTGTACGTGGGATTCTTACAACTGAATTACAAGTACTGTAAATTAATTCATAGGGGCCAATAGATTTGTACTCTTATTCTGTTGTTTACATGCTCTCAAAGAAGCACCTTAGCAATAACAATGGGAAAAAATGAAATGAAAAATTATACACAGAAAATATACATACATTTTTTTCAAATGTCTTACCTGTAATGCACTATTCAAGAAGCAGCTATTCTGTCCTGGCTCATTGCTGAGACCTTTACTTGGTGCTATAGATGTTGTATTACGTGGAGTGAACATTCCTTGTACAGCACCTCGTCCAACTGAAAAGTAATTTCTTTTCCAAGACATGTTTCACATTTAGATTTGTAGTGTTTTAGAACTCCTTTTGATTTAAACAATGTTTTTCCCTTATACAAAAACAGAACTTGGTGGCACAATGTTAAGAGCGAAATCTCTTCCCAAGTTGCTTACTTGTACTTCATGAAGTTACACGCAGATTGTATTTCTTTTTAAATCCAGTTATACGGCCGTAGAACTAGAGCTTATGTAAAAGAATACCTGTTCTAGTATCTCAAAAGACAAAAGCAAATTAAAAGAAGCCATGATGTTTCAAGTGTTGTGCCACCATTTCATTTAAAAATATAGTGATGCAGTAGAACATATCTGCAAATATTATAATGCTACAGTTCAAAAAAGTCTGAAAATAATCACTTGCTCCTTCATATTCTTCTCAGACAGATGAATAAAATCCAGCAAGAAAAACAACAGGGAAACAAGACCCCAAGCACTTGCAGCTAGTTGTCAATAGGTTCCCACAGGAATACTGATGCAGGAAAGTTTCCTTCGTGTAAGCTGAACAAAGGAAGGATTCAAGAATAACATCCTTTAATTTGAGCAGAAAATGTCTTCTTGAAATTCTTTTAACTTCCTGTGCTGACCTTGAGTAGTTTCTTCTACTGTTTCTTCTCTTGCAAGTGCAGCGAGCTGTGCCGGAAAGTTTGAGAGGAAGAGAGAGAAAGAGAGAGAAAAATAATCAAAGGATTGCGTCAGTTAATTACTCATTTGGTTTTGTTCTCTTCTGCCAAGTTCATTTGTTGCCTCACCTCCTACCAGAAACACAGGAACACAGTCAAATGCAGCAAAACAAAATTGCTACCAAAGTCAAACCACTGTAGTCAAGAAGAATTTGCATAACTGAGCATATAGATACTCTTAAAACTTGCAGCTTGAGTTGACTGGTGCAATAAGTGTAATATTTTTAGTATTAATATTAGCTCATGCTAGAAATATCTCATCAAAAGTTCAAACTATTCATTTACCAGACATACGTAGTGAATTGTTACATACAAGTTATATTCAGTACAGTAAACGAACGAATTACAGGTAAGGTTTCTAAAGCATTACTTATCATGGAAAAGACAGTAAGTTTATTTCTTTTGGAGTTTTAATATACTGTATTTTCAAATATTACTTGCTACCTAGAGGCAACCATGCGTGTTTAAAAAAGAAGATGGTACATCTGCAGGAACACTGCAATCAAAACAAGAAAGAACAACTGTTTAAGGAATTATGATTGAAAGGAGTATATGGGACATGCATGATCTTTACAAAAGAATCAATTTATATCTCTATGCAAAAGAATTACTGTAATGGACATCTCTACTCAAATGGACATAAATCTAACATCAGAAATGGGAACACACACAAAACGGTTTCAGAACATTACAATCTACCTGGACACGTCATGTGATCTGAAAGTGTTTAAATAACAACAACAACAACATTACAGAACTAGACTTGAAAGAGAAATAGCTGAGATAAGTTATAGATGGATACTGAGGATCTACTGAAAAGTATTAAACATCAACCAAGCTTTCTAACTCATCATCAATTGAGAAATCCTACATTGATTGACAGTTTGTCACATGTGCCTACTATGCTATTGTTTCCTTGAAAATTGGCAGAGTGATAACTGTAATTATTCATAGAATGGTAGTCCCATTCCTTTACTAGCAAACTATTGTCATTTTGTCCATTATCTGTATCCTCACCTACTCATCGGACTGTGTATAAATATAAGTCTTACAGTTTCCTTCTAATATCTGAGGAAGTAGACTTGATCCATGAAAGCTCATATTAAAGCAATCTTTAAGGTAGCACAACATTTTTGTTTCTTTTTTCTCTCTGTCTGATATTGCTGGTATTCATTTTATGGTAAAGTGTTTTTTTAAGAGCTATCAAATTACATAATTTATAATTTTGGAGCAGAGGGTGCTACTGTTTGCCTTATTTAAGGGCATCTGAAGAGCCATATTTTAACTTCCACTTTAAAATAAAGGGCCTGCTTAAAGGATCCTTGCACATTTTCTGGAACGGAGAAGAGTAGAAGGATGCAGCAAAACATGAAGTCACATCATTCCATCTCAGTGAACAGTGAACATCATTATATCTGTGAGGATTCTCACTATCCAGGTGAGATTATCTGGAAATTGAGTCATGTCAACTGGACTTCTTTCTTGTTAGGCTGAAACTTTTAGTTACTCATCCAAGTAGTTTCTTGAAGAGATGTGAATATAAACAAGAAAGCGTATGGGCACGTTCAAGAACAATGCACAGGTGTGTTATAACGAAATGTCTTATGTTCACAAGTTACAATCACAATCCATGTGCAATTCCCAGTGTTCCTTTCAAAAAGTCCTGCTATTTGCATTCAGCTACTGACTGACTCCAGGTGCTGAGATACAGACAAACCCCCCCCCCCACCGCTGCTCAACATGCTTGGAGTCTTTCATTCAATTGTTCATAGTTCAATAGTTTAGGTATCTGGCTGTGGAGCCAGGACTTGAGAGTTTGATTCTTCACTGTGCCTCCCTGACAGGGGCTGGACTTGATGATCCACAGGGTCCCTTCCAGCTCTATATCTCTAAGATTATTACGGTTATTATTATTAAGGTTCCTCAGCTCCTCACACCTATTTTTTGCCACATCCCTAACTATACTTCTCTATCTCTTGGTTTATATATGGGAATTCATTTTTGAGCTGCATACTACATGGAAGATTCTGCCCAAGTCTCTTTTTGCTCATACAGGAGTTGGAATATCTTCCTGCAAACTGTCAAAACAAAATGATATGTCTCTGTTTATCTGTTCACAGGACTGGAGGCTGCTGATAGGAATTAGATGGAGTTGGTTCTTAAACTTCCTAAGAAATATCTTTGAATTATTTTCTTTTAGAATGCAGAAAACATTCGAGTAGGAACATAGATGGAAGTCAAGTGTGAGCTTGAGTCAAAGGGAATTTTTACCTTTCTGCAGATTAGATTATACAAATATTAATTAAATCTCAACATCTCTACAAAGTACAAAAGCATAATTCAGATTTTGTAGAGCAGACATTCCTTCTTCCCAGTATCTTAACTATTTGTAAACATTTCCTTAGGGAATGTAGGTACAAAGACTAAGGACAAACCAGTTCTCCAACATTCCTAAACACAGAATGGCATAAAAGAATGATTATAAAGCAGTTTCTAACACCAGCATCATTTTTTGCTCAAGCTCAAAGCCAAATTAAGAAACACTTAGTACAACAAACTGATTGCTGTTCATTCACCAACCTTAAAACTTAGCCATGTTAATTAAAGGTGTGCTAAAAGGGAGAATGCTTCAAACAGGCATGGAATGATACATAGAAATAATGTAACCAGAAACTAAATTGGCAGAATATGTTAATTTCACCACCAATACTCAACATTTCCACAAGACTTAAACTTTGAGCTTTGCATTTTAAGAGGAACAGAGGAAAGATAGAGGCCAGAAGTTAAATATAGTCTGTCCTTTTATTGTGATAATTAATTTTATTGTAAGAGCTCTAGAAAAGCAACAGAAAATACAATCACATATTTAGAATGAAGAAGTCAAAACTACAAACGCAATTACATATTTAGAATGAACAAGTTAATGACATATCTAATTGCTTTAAATTAAGAGACAGAAAGAAAGGAAACAGCATCATATTAAAATATCAGATAAAACCAGAACTCTTTTTCATTAGAAAGATGCATATATGTATATATAAAGTTAGTATCCAGCTGTGCCTTTGCCAAACAAAAGAGCTTCTGCTGGGACAAGCTGCAAGAGCCAAACATAACTCATCCGCCTCCCTAGCGCAATCCATGGGGTCATTAGGTGGAAAAAAATTGTGAAGGATGACAGTGCGTGCCAACTTTACCACCAGAATTAAGATCTGTAATAATTAATTATTAGCCTAATAAGACTGCGTCCTTATGCTTGTCTGTTTTCCCCAAGCCCACAAAAAATGTAAATAGCAAAAGCCTGCCAGAGTGTAAGGGAAGGGAAGCTAATGGGGGCGGGGGGGGGAGAGAGGTGAACCAGGAACTGGAAACAGCTGAACCCTAATCAAGGTGTTTGTTTGCCTACGGGCCTCCAAACCCACTTTTTGTTGTTGTTGTTTGGTCGTTCAGTCATATCCGACTCTTTGTGACCCCATGGACCAGAGCACGCCAGGCCCTCCTGTCTTAAATTTAAATAGCAAAAATCTGCCAGAGGCAACACCTTTGTGCCTGCCTCTGCATCATGCAAAGTGTGGTGCTAAGTCTGTACTTAGTGTTGCATTTAGAGTACTCGCAGGAGGAGCCACATGGTAAAAGATTTGGGTGCTGAGCCCAGAATCTCGTGGAGGACCCTTGTTACAACTTTTTTTACTTTCCATTGGGACTCTGTTCTTCCTACTACTGCAATAAAACATCTTAGGAGGCAACAATGAAGTGTTTTACTACCATGTTTTCCCCCAAATAAGACCTAACCTGAAAATAAGCCCTAGTAGGATTTTTCAGGATGCTCATAATATAAGCCCTACCCCCAAAATAAGCCATAGTTAAGTGAAACCCCACCCTCCACGATTGTGCAGCAACCAGAAGAGGAGGACAGGACTGCATTTGAATAACTGTATATGGTTGTACATGGGGAAAAAAACATTCCCTGAAAATAAGCCCTAATGCATTTTTGGAGCAAAAATTAATATAAGACCCTGTCTTATTTTCGGGGAAACATGGTAGATGATATTCACAGCAAAGAGAAACAGTAAGAAAAAAAAGAGTAATTAATGTTGAAAAACCTCAAAGCTGAAGAGGTGATCCTATTAATATCCACCATCTTCAAGGCAGCTAAGATGACAAAATCACAACTATAGAACTATACAACTTTAACATTGTCAATGAAGATATTCAAATATGTAGTTAGCAATTTTGTATACCTTGGTTCAATGATCAATCCAAAGGGAGGCCTTGGCCAAGAAATCGGAAGACGATTGAGACTTAGGAGGGCAGCAATGAAGGAATTAGGAAAGATCATCAAGTGTAAGGATGTGTCAGCTGGAGACCAAGATCATCCACACTCTTGTATTTCCAATCATCATGTATGGGTGTGAAAGCTGGTCAGTAAAGCAAGCTGACAAGGAAAAAAAAAAATTCATTTGAAATATGGTGCTGAAGAAGAGCTTTGAAAATACCCTGGACTGCCAGAAAGAAGAACAAGTGGGCTCTAGATCAGATCAAGCCTGAACTATTTCTGGAGGCAAAAATGTTGATGCTGCAGCAAAATGAGATATCAACTTCTTTTGGCTTCTCTTCTTGAGCTGGTTGTACCTCAACTGTTTCACTGCAGAGCCTGAAATCACCATCCCCACGTCCCTTCATTTCTCTTTTTCTGCCATGTGTTTTAGACTGTAATGCAAAGGCAGCATCTTTTCTTTCTTTCTTTCTTTCTTTCTTTCTTTCTTTCTTTCTTAATGATCTGTAAGCTACTCTGGGAATATTTTTGTCTGAAAAGGGGTTAAAATGGTTTTTAGTACATAAATTAACAGCGCAATAGAACCCCACGGGGACAGATGTGACTGAGTCACCACACTCTGCCAGCACCCACTCTTCCTCTGCCCAATGCTCTAGGAGTTAAGAGTAGCTTTATTTATTTATTTATTTTTATTAGATTTTTATCCCGCCCTTCTAGACATTGTCTACTCAGGGCAGCTTACAATAAAATTATTCATAAAAGAGTTAAAACAACAATTAAATCAACAATAAAGTATTAATCAAGATGGGAAAATATAAACAAAAGACTAAGTAAGAAATAAAAGTCAAGTATTGACAGGAGGGAAGGCCTGCCTAAAGAGCCAAGTTTTTAATTGGCTCTTAAAAACACCCAGCGAGGGAGTCAGACGAATCACTGATGGGAGGTTATTCCAGAGCCGAGGGGCCACTGCTGAGAAGGCCCGGTTTCTTGCTTTTTTTCTATGGGCCTCTCTCAGCATTAGGCCCCTCAGCCGTCTTTCCTGGCTATAACAAGTGACTCGAGTAGATCTAGGTGGGAGAAGGCGTTCTGCTATATACCGAGGTCCTAAACTGTTTAGGGCTTTATATGTCATCATTAACACTTTGAAACCAATGCGGAAATGAATGGGCAGCCAATGCAAGGCAGCCAGAGTGGAAGAGATATGCTGGTGTTTTCTCGTCCCACTAAGTAATCTGGCTGCCGCATTCTGCACCATTTGAAGCTTCCGCATCAATCTCAAAGGTAGCCCCATGTAGAGAGCATTACAGTGGTCTAATCTCGAGATTACAAGCGCATGAACCAGAGTGGTGAGCCCCTGCCATCAAGATAGAGATGCAGCTGATGACCATGACATTTAAAACAGCAAGACAGCATAGACAGAGTCCCTACCCCAGTCTTCTGAAGATGCCAGCCACAAAGACTGGCGAAACGTCAAGAACAACAACCTTCAGAACACAGCCGAAGAGCCCAAAAAACCCAAAACAACCATCAGATCCCGGCCGTGAAAGCCTTCGAGAATACATTAACTAGAATCAACTTATTTTAAAAATTAAACAATCTTGAGGTCCACTAGGGTCTCCTTACCATGCATACCTAGCCTAGTTCAAGGCACCCAGTCATGGGAGGTATGAAAGTAGCACTGTTCCTTTGGAGTATTGTGTGCCAAGTCCTCAACACTACTCTATGTCAAAATCAAACTGAACAGTTAGCATATATTGTGTGTTCTCTAGTATAATAAATTTCAATTTTTTAAGGTTTTGTCTGTAGTTAGAAAGAAATTGCCAACAGATTTTTAAAAGCACAATTCTGTTTCCTGGAATTTTAAACATGCTTTCAAATAAGTAGGCCCCTTTCAACACCATGAAATATACTTCAAAGTGAACAAGCACTAGAGCACATTGAAAGCAAGGAAAGAATGAAACACAATTTCATATCTATTCTCGAGTGAATTAGTTTGGTTGATCAACTCTTAACTGTATATATTACACAGTGACAATCTATCTCACAGAAAATGCAGCAATACAAAATCTCAGATATATGAACATTTTTATTTTTATATCGATATCTGTGTGTGATAAAAAAAACTTTACAAGCAAAAGCTTACACATTTACATACTCTCACTAGTGAAATACATACTGTATTAATCCCAAAGCCTATCTAGTTGAACATGGGCAGGGTATCGAGAGATCCAGAATATGGATACTATCATTACTAAAATCTGCCTGTGTGTTTTGTAGTGTAGAGGTAATAACTCATACTGGATTTATAGTAACTAAGGACCAGGAACTAAGTCTTTATGCACTCTGAATGTCTTGTTAGAATATTTGTGCTATTGTTCCTCTCATTTTCAAAAACAAACACAAAGTATATTTCTATTATAGTGATATTACTTCTTAAACTAGGACAGGAAATAAAGTATGTATTCAAACAGCTTCAGTTAAATTCTGCTGCTCCTGGGGCAACAGAGCTGACAGCAATGTCAGTGATTATACAACCATTCACATAGCTTTCTAAAACAGAAACGAGGCAGGCAGACCCAATGAGATGGAAACTCAGAAATGACCTTGCAATCTTTACATACTCACTTTAAAGACTTGGGCTACAAATCTATATGCATTCACCTAACAGAAAGCCCTAATGAACTCATTTGGGTTTACTTCTGAATAAATAAGAATAGAATTGCCTTGTTAGTTTTCAGGTATATATGCTGTCCTCAATACTCGACTCGGCTCTTCCTCCAACTTTCCCCTCCTGAATAGGCTTATACTGAATGTGGATTAATAGTGATGATACAGATCCCGGTTTCCACTGACATTTAGTCCAGTCGTGTCCAAATCTAGGGCGCGTTGCTCATCCCTGTCTCCAAGCCGCAGAGCCAGCGTTTGTCCATAGACAGTTTCCATGGTCACGTGGCCAGCGCGACTAGACATGGAACACCGTTACCTTCCCACCGTGGTGGTACCTATTTATCTATTCACATTTACATGCTTTTCATGCTAGGTTGGCAGGAGCTGGGGCAAGCGATGGGAGCTCACTCCGTCGCGTGGATTCAGTCTGACGACTACTGGTCTTCTGCCCTTGCAGCACAGAGGGTTCTGCAGTTTAACCCGCAGCACCACCACATCCCTAAGAGATGATAGCCCAGTTCTAATCTGTATGAGTGCATAAAGGTGGATAAGTGGAGAATGGCACCAATAGCAGCTCGCCTCCATTGTTTGCATGTCAGTGGGTGAGTGGTTAGTAAGAGAAGGAAGCCTGTTAAATTAATAAGTAACAGAGATATGCAAGACAGAGAAGAAGACTGGTGGACAAAAGAACAATTAACCATACATAGCAAATAAACTGACATGACTGCCCTCTGAAATCTGAGGGGATTGGCCAGTCTCAAATTCTGCTGCAGTCTGCCAAACATCTTGTAAATAAAAACTGTCATCCTGCATTTTGATTAGAACATGTTATTGCATTTTGATTAGAACATGTTATTGGTTGGTAGAAATAAAAAGGCTTCCAAAAACAAATATAATCAATTGTGGTTGAAAGAATTTATCTGTGAGACTTAAGAATACTCAAGCAACCTATCAGATGTTTGCTTGGACCATGCTCCTCACAACTTACTGATTGACTGCATTAATATTTAACTGAGAAATAGGGATGTTTTAACTACTGTATCTTGAAGTAGGCAGTCATACAATTCCTCATAAAAATGTTGGGTCTCTGAATTAGGATGACCTCAGTTATTCCTGGCCAACGTAAAAAGAGGACAACATAAAAATCTTGACAGTAGAACTATAGCTGCATGTATAGTAATATCCATTTATAAAACATCTAATATACCATTCTGCTTTAGGAGGCCGTCTAATATGGTAAGATCAATTCTATATCAGATCTACTCAGCTATCCAACCGCAATCTACACCATTGTGTAGGAAGGATAATGTTTTAAAAAACTGGGAAAAGTTTACAACAATGCTAAATGCAGCTGTGCTTCAGTCTGGCTGCCAATCAGGGACCCACAATCAATCTGTAACTTCCATTTTGGATGGACGCAGGAGAACATCCCAGGTCTCTCTCCGGAAACAGACCTATCTTCTTAATCTGATTTTAACTCTTGCAGAAACAAAAAGAACACACTGTACATTAACACACTGTACACTATAACAGAGTTTGACATGGTAAGAAGCAGCCAGAAAGCTTGGAGATGAGTAAAAAGACTAAAGAACAATCCAAAGAAAAGAACGTTGTATGCAAATATAACCCCCAAATAGCAAACCAACTGTTCCTGGGAGGGAAGACCAAACAATGTACAGTATAATAAAATAAAACATTAAAGGGATATTCATTCCAATGAACTTTGCACTGCCTTCATACTAGCCAAACTAGAGGAAGCCATAGAAAATGTAGGAAGGAATGACTCTTTTAGTCCCAATAACTGCCTGACAAGCAAACAAATTCCAAAAACATGGCAGAAGATTAAAACAATCACTATACTGAAACCAGGCAAAGAACCATCAGATTCCAAAAGTTCCAGCCAATCTCCCTATTATGCCACTTATACAAAGTATTTAAATGAATATTAAATCATCTAGCTCCTAAAACTAACCTCTTCTAATTATAGAACAAGCAGGCTTTAGACATAACAAAAGCTGCACAGCTCAAATCTTAAATCTAAATCTTAAATTTAACCCAGCATATAGAAAATGGTTTTGAAACATACGAAATAACTGAAGCAGCGTTTGTCAACCTTACAGCGGTATATGATACTGTCCGCCATCAACAGCTGCTCAAAAACCTCTACCTACTAAAGATGGTGAACTAACAGAAATGGTCACCATTAGAGATGGGGATATTCATATTCACATACGAATATCCCCACACAGGTGGAAATAACAAGAGTCAAGCCCACTCACGATTTCGCCACTGATGCGAGCTCGCTGGACCTTCCTATCGCACCATTGTCTGCAATCAATGACCCAGTCCTGCCAGGAGGCAGGATGACAAGCCTCTCTACTAGGTTGGAGAGTGGATAATCCATTGCAGAGA